AAAAATAAATTTTACACATGTGTATGTATATATATATGTATGTGTGTGTGTGTGCGTGTGTATATATATATATATACACACACACACATATCACCTTGGGGCTATGCACTTTGACATATGCAGAACATCAGTGCAGGTGATTGACATGATCCCAGGGCGAGTCACATGCATTTCACAAATTGTGAAACACTAATTTTTTGAAGACTACACAGTATGTGAGGAAATTGGTCAGGAGTCAGAATTAGTGCCGTAGAACTTGAATAAACAAGAGCAGTTGAAACTCAGTTCAGTGTGAGGGTATCCAGGTCATGACCAGTTTTGAAAGGCAGTCTGGCACAAAGGTACAGAACCATTTTATTGGCCGCATAACAGTTGGTCACGTAGTAAATCATTAAACACGCAAATATTTGTTCAATGCTTGAGTGTCAGACACAACAGTAGCTGCTACAGGGGATTCAGAGATGAACAAACTGAAGGGTGCTGCCTTTGAGCTTGCAGTTCCAAATCTAAACATCTGTGAAAGCCAAGTGTTTGTGTAAGTAACTCAATCGGTACTTGAACATGGTTAGTGCAAAAATCTGATCTGAACCAACATTTGTTTCTTTGTATGGGTCTCACATGAACATTAATTTTTTAGCACACATTTTTAAAAATATGTGAATCTGTAGCTTTATATTTTTTCTACTAATTTATTTACAAAATTTGAATACAAATTTGAACAAATTCTTACAATTTCCCTCACCCCCACCCATCAAATTATACAACCAATGATTAATCCTCTTTTCTCTCTACACATCCACATCCCTCTGCTTCCAGCCTCTCCCATCCCTCCAGGATCCTTACACTCATTCTACAATAACGGTTTTATACAATATTTATCCTTGTGGGACTGAGTTAGTTCACACAGCATAATGTTCTCCAGTCCCTCCCAAATTAGGTAATCATTTACAAAGTCACTGCTCCTGCATTTAGTACAAATCTGATGACTAGCATTTGATGACTAGTTAAGTCCTGGATCCCTCAAAGGCAAATATGACTGATAAAATTAAACGTTTTCAAAAGCTGTAAAATTGCACATTCCAAATCATATCTGGCCTTAAAGTGTTCCAGTTCATGGATTGTAGATCGAGAAAGAGCGCCAATGACTAAAATTCGAAGACGAGAAAGATTCGTATTATAGAGAAACACAAACACTATGCAGAGGCAGCAAACATCACTGAGACCACTGAACAGTTATTTGCTTTAGGTCAGGGCCCAAGAGCCTTACATTAGGTTGTGAAATCTTTGTAGTGGTTCTGTCTGCAAAAAGCTCACTGTCATTGAAACAGAACTGTCTCACGGCTAACCCCCCATTGGGTTTTTTGAGGTTGTAAATAGCACTGGAAGAAACTGCTTGTCTTTCTCCCTTGGAGTTGCTGATGCATTTAAATCTCTAGACAAGCAGGGCTTTTTGGCTGTCAGTACCACTCCCTCTTGACCAGGCCACAGCAGCTCCCTCCTCTGAACAGCAGTCCCAAAGGATCCTTGTCGGTAGTTGGGGGAACTGAGTCTCAGAGAGGCCCAGAAAGGCAGGCCTTCTTTCCGATCTCACATTCATTATCCCAGGAGTAATTACAAGGGAGAACAAGTGTCTGTTCAGTTGAATGAAGAGAGGGAGTATAGGAGGCTTCATGGAGAATGACAACTTGAGACAAAAACAAATTTTATGTATTTTAAAAATTTTTCTCAATTAGTTTTTTTACAAAACTCGAATACAAATTTGAATACATTTTTTTAATTTCCCTCACCACCCCCCATCAAATTGTTCAACCCGATGATTAATCCCTGCCCTTCCCCAGCACATCCTCATCCCTCTGCTTCCATCCTCTCTCACCCCTCCTAGATCCTTATACTCATTCTATAGTAACAGTTTTATACAATATTTATCCTTGTGGGACTGAGTTAGTCACTCAGCATAGTGCTTTCCAGTCCCTCCCAAGTTAGGTAATAATTTACAAATTTATTGCTCCTGCGTGCTGCATAGTATTCCATTGTGTGAATGCACCATAATTTCTCAATCCATTCGTTTGTGGTTGGACATTTGGACTGTTACCATGTTCTTGGGATGGTGAATAATGCTGCTATGAACATTTACAAGTCTCAGTTTGTGCCTCAGTTCTCATATTCTCAGGGTATATTCCAAGTAGTGGAATAGCAGGGTCAAATGAAATTTCTATGTTCAGTTTTTTGAAGAAGCACCAAAATGTCTTTCAGAATGGTTGCACAATTTTACAATCCCACCAACAATGTAGAAGAGTTTCTTTCTTGCCACATCCTCTCCAACATCTTTTACTTGCTGCCCTGTTAAACTTTGCCACTCTTACTGGAGTGAGATGGTACCTCATTGTGGTTTTGATTTGCATCTCTCTTATTGCCAGTGATTTGGAGCATTTCTTCATGTGTATGTTTGCCATTCTAATATTTTCCTCTGTGAAAATTCTTTCTATGTCTTTTGCCCATTTTATAATTTGGTTATTAGTCTTTTTTGTGTGGAGGCCCAGCAGTATTCTTTAAATTTTTGTTATAAGACTCTTGTCTGAGATGGTATTACCAAATGTTTGTTCCCAGTCTGTAGGTTTTCTTTTCACCCTGTCAGAAAAAGTTTTTGATGTGTGCAGAGATTTAATCTTTTGAAGGTCCCATGCATCAGTTTTATCCACTTTTGATTGTACATTTCTGATTGTATTTGGCAGTCTCTTTATACCTTGGACTAGCGCTTCTAAGCTTGATCCCAGTTTGTCTCTTATGAATGTTACGCCTAGAACAGACACATCATTTGAAACATTGGAGAGGACTTTTACTTACTTGTGAGGGTGAATTTGACATAATTTTGGTATCAAAACAGAGTTAGGGCAGGGACATGGGGCATCCCAGCGAGTAATCTTTGCAGCATTTAGTGGGAAAGACAGAGGACACTAGAGAGGGGGGCAGTAATAACAGAGGTGGGGTAAGGGAAGTGTCACTTTAGAATCAAATGGACTCAGACACTGAGTTTTGTTTTGGGTCTGTTTTGTTTTGGTTTGCTGAGTGTCAAGCAAAAGAGTCGTCATTGATGATGCCTGGTTTCCAGCTCAAGGGAATGGGAGAGTAGTAGTATCTTTATCAAGTTTTCCAGGAAAAGGAATATACTTGGTTTGGGATACATTAGATTTGGAATGCTTCAGGACACTCAGTGAATAGTCTGACTATAATGTTTGGGTGCAAAGTTGTAGCGGAAAGAAAGAGTAAAGACCTGAACGTGGGTGCTTTTGAGAGAGTTGAGAGGAGGGAGGAACAGTCCCAGTACACCCTGCCATTGAGGGTTTGTGGTGCAAAGAAAGTGAGCTGAAGAAGAAGGCCTAAGAATGGTCAGAAAGGTGGGGATAACGGCAGGATTGAGCAACTCAAGAAAACCAGGATGCGAGAGTTTTAAGGGAGTGTAGTGGCAAGAAGCTGCTCTACAATCCCAAAGGCATGTGGTTTGAGGCCACCAGCTGCTTCGCAGGACAAGGATGGGCAAGCTCCTCCTGTGGAATAAATTGCCTCTGAAAACCCACCAGAGGGTCGGTTCCAACTCTACGGTACCCATCAACAACAAGAAACCAGAACTAAAGAAGAGTTGGAGAAGAGTGCTCAGGATCCATATAAGAGCAAACAGAGCCAAAAGAGCAAAGAGATATGCCTTAGAGCAAGTGCAGCCAGAGTGGCCCTTGGCGGCAAGGATGATGAAGCTTCATCTCACATACTTTTTGGCATGTTGCTAGGAGAGGTTACTCCTTGGAAAGTGACATCATGCTTGAGAAGTGGAGGAATGGCGGAGAGCAAGCCCTTCAACCAGGTGGATTGACAGAGTGACCACAACAACGGGCCTGAGTGTGCCAGAGATTAAGAGGATGACACAGGATAGGACAATGTCAGATCAGTGCATAGAGTTACTATGAGTCACACTCGATAGCACCTAAAGCCAAAACTAAAGAGTGGAACTAACTTCTTTTCCTGTTACAAGTAGAAGAAAGAGCAGCATGTCTGATGGTTACAGAGGACATGCTATGACCAGGGAAATAAAATTTGGTTAACTGACTATAAGAGAAAAGGGCATGAATACAAGGTTGTTTACTTACAACAGAATGAAAGTCATATTGGAAAGAGTTGGTGGACTGGAAGACAAATGACAGCATGGATGAGAGCAGTGGTGGCTCAGTGGTAAAAGTCTTCCTTCCACACAGGAGTCTGGGCTTGGTCTCATTGGCCAGTGGAAGCTTGAGCGCAGCTATGACACTTGGATGAGTTTCAGGGGATGTTCTAGTCTCAGACAGGCTTGGAGAAAAGTTTGGCATTCTGCTTCTAAAAGTAGCAACTAAAAACTCTATTGACCACAAGAGTCTGATCTGCAAGCCCCATGGTGTGGCACAGAGCTGGGATGTTCCATCAGTGGTACATTGATAGCATAAATTTCAGAGAATTAAAACAAGCTTGGAAGCAGGAGTGGGATCCACTTCCAAAATAGCTTGCCTTCAGAAACTGTATGAACAGTGCTCAGGCCTTTTGTTTATAGGGTCGCTATGAGTCGTCTACGGCTCGACAGCACCTAACAACAGTAACAATGACAACATAGAGAGAGCTACGCTGGCCTAGTGGACAGAAAGTATGCTACCAAGCCCAAGTGAGTGATTTTAATCTGCGGCCTTCAGGCCTGGTTTAAATTGGGTTTTGTTGGTTTGTTGTTTTTTTCAAACATTCTTCTAGGTGGTATAGCATTGGTCTGTGCATTGCTGTACTGAGGTAACTCATGGTTGCTGTGATGCTAAACACTGACAATGATGTGCCAAATGTGATAATGGTTACCCACGGTGGACAGTGTTTGGCGGAGCTTCCCAGTTAAAACAAGCTTGAAAGCAGGAGTGGCATCCACTTCCGAAAGGGCTTGCTTCCAGAAACTCTATGAACAATGCTCAGGCATTTCATTCATAGGGTCTCTATGAGTCGTCTACGACTGGACGGCACCTAACAACAACAACAACAACACATTCTGATCAGAGATTAAAGCACTAAGGGGGTCTCACTGACAGTAAGCGCACGTAGCAGGAGGGACAGTGTTGGGGAGGCATTGGCTGAGAGTCTCTGGAGGACCCTTATCACTCGTTAAGTTCAGGCTAGGCAGAATGTGGTTATTCATGGAAAGGCTTCGTTTGTTCAACAACACTACTTATTGCAGCTAGTTGTGTTTCTTGTCTAAATGATTTAATATTTTCCTGTGAGACCTGAAGGAGCTGCAGCGGGGGAAAAGGGGTTCACCATGTGTTACAGCCAACAGAAACATTTGCAGTACTAAGTGGTTCCAGATGTTGGCTCTGTTCTGAGAAGACCTTTCACAGGGCAGACTTGTTTGCCCCCTGGACCCTTCTCACCCACTACACCCAGTAACAACATAGATTTATTCTGTAGAGGCAAGCAGGGAATTTTTCTTAAATTATAACCTTTGAAGAGACTAAAGATCTTGTGTTTTTTCTAGGACTCTGGGCTTATACCCTGAGGTCACCAGATTCGGATATTTCTCTGCTGCTCTCTTGGCCCCTCACTTAATTGGTGAATTTCTAACCCTTGTGTTACTTGGTATCATACAAAACCCCAATGTGGCCAACAGTGCGGTGGCTCTGCTGAGCATTGCTGGAGTCCTTGTTGGATCTGGATTCATGAGGTAAGGTAGAAGGACTGAGATCATTTAGAGCACCATGCCCTGTTAATGATCACCTGATGACGCCACTTATACAGGAGTTGCAGGAGGAAACTCTGTGATACTGGGTAAAGGTATCACTTTGGAGTCCATTCCTCTGCCCGGGAGTATTTATAGTGCTTGCTGACCATTATTGCCTTTGTCTTGGTCACCATTCACTCAATAAACTGTTTACTGAGAATCAGGCAATAATGATCATGGAAGAATGTCATCATATGGTTAACACCATTACCAACAGCAAAGGAAACCAAGCCATCTTCAGAAACCATCCATTGCCCACGCTACAGGCTAAATAACATCAAGTGTGTTCATTTCTGTCCTGGCACTGTTGAATATGTATTCCAATCCTCAATTCTCAGTTACTTTGAGGAAGTAAGGACAGTTGGATAAGAAAAGAGGCTGCTGAAGAATAAAGATTGCTCTGGAAAGGAGGAGGACTGTCCCAAATATTAATAGTACTTACCTCAGGGGTATTTAATCTTTTTTGTGCTTTGTGGATTTTCCAAAATGGGTAAGCACCATTTTATAATTAAAAAAGAACTCAAATTATGAACTTTAAAATGTAGTAGCTGGGGGGGGGGGGAGCCCTGGTGACCTAGTGGCAAGGAGCCGCAACTACAATCCCAGAGGTGCACGGTTCGAATCCAACAGATGCTCTGCCGGGGAAGGAGGGACAATCTCCTCCTGTACCAGTCAGATCTGATTTGACGGTACACTCACACAAAAATAATAAAAATAACTAAAAAAAAAAAGTAGTAGCTGAAAGCCTGGAAAATTTTAGAACAGTGACCTGTCATTCCAGGCAGGTGAAGTGAGTAGGGGCCAGTGACTTAACTAGAGGTCCCTGAGAGAATGTGTTTCTTTGATTTAAAAATCAATTGGTTAAACAAAAAAGAACGAGCATATATTGTATATAATTATGTTTCTAGATTTAGCTGTTTAATTTTCAGAGCAACCTATTTCCAGCTAAGTAAGCTAAGCTCAGGTTTTGTTCAGATCACGGTGCTCTGAGATACAAGATCTGTTCTCCTCGATGTAAGGGGTTCTGTGCAGGGGCACTGACCTGGGAGTCAGAAATGCCCTCTGCCACTTAGCTGCCGTGTGACCACGGGCACGCCACTACTTTATCTTAATTTGTTTTCTCATTTATGAAATGGAGATAATTTTCTCGGCCTCACCCCTTCAAGGGATCACGAGGAGCAAATAAGATTATCAACAGAAACACTTCATGAACTCTAGTGAGTTACACAGAGGTGAGATATTATTAAAGCAATATGATAAAATAAGGCTGTTGTCACATAGGTAGATTTTTAAGGAAGGGGTGATTAATTGCTGTTGAAAGCAAGACAGTTGACCAATGTTGCTTAATGCTCTTGGGTTCTTTGCTGTATCTCCACATCCCAAGACTGGATTCTTCTTAAATTACTATGTGAAAACTCCTCTTTGAAGGCCACATGCACTTCTAGTCATTGCATTTATCAACGTCCCAATCATCAAATTTCTATTTTACCTCAAGTCAGCATCTTTCCTGAAGCATTTATGCCATTAAGCTGCTCTCTCCTTGAAACAAGTATAGAAATAACTTTGCTGTGCTTTCTGTGTAAAAAAGAACATGTATCAATGGTTTTTTAAAATGTCCACAATGCAAAAATGTATAAAGGAGGCAGTAAGTCATTTAAAGTGCCAGAGTTCATTTTGTTGTGTAACTTGCCAGTATTTTCTTTTTTAAATTTTATTTATTTATTTATTGTCAGTAGTTTCTATGCTCTTAGTAAGAAAGCTTTTTTTTTTTATTCTTTGGCTAAGACAGGAGAAGAGATGATTTATTGTGCACGTGACATCCAACCACAACTAAGCAGAGTTAGTCCAAAATATCACAGGTCCAGGGCAACAGATCAAAAGGGCCTGGTTTCAAAGGAGGAAAGTGGGCCTCTCAGAGGTGTTCATGGTGACTGAGTGGCGATGAACATTCTAGATCCCTTGAGTCAGACGTCCTAGCCAGGAGCGTGCAGTCCAATTCGTATCAGCGCCCCCAGCCTGTGGCATTCTCTACTCCAGCGCTGTGGCGTCTGTGGTGCACACACTCGCGTTTACTTGGACCACTGCCTCATCTTTCTTTTTTGTGCTTCAGCCTGAGCATTCACTTTTCCCTCCACTTGGCCCTCATGGTTCAGAGGTCTCAAACAAGATGGCGCTAAAGTGGGAAAAGCAATAAGAAAACATTTTATTGTGTAACATGCTAAGTATGCATACTTCTCCCCACCTCAATTAATGTGGAAAATTTTCCAGGCCAATGATTTAAATTTTATTTTTTTAATATTTATTTTATTATTTTTGTGTGTGTACCGTCAAATCGGATCTGACTGGGACTGGAGGAGATTGTCCCTCCTTCCCCAGCAGAGCATCTGGTGGATTCAAACCATGAGCCTCTGGAATTGCAGTGCAGCTTCTTGCCACTAGGCCACTAGAGCTCCCCTCAGGCCAATGATTTAGTATTCCTTCTTGATAGTATTCTTAGGATGTCTGTAGCTTGGTCTGTACCTGCCTCTCACTTATCCACTGGTCTCCAATTCCTACCTGGACAAAGCCTGCCTGTTCTCATGGCTGGAAGCTCTCTCTGAAAATTCTCTTTGTTTTCTCTTACAGCCCATTGCATAGTGAGCCACCTAGCAGTTTTCCTCTATTGTTATGTGTCCTCGAGTTGATTCTGACTCGTAGCAACCCTATGTACAACAGCTCTGAATCCTGCTCTATCTTGAGTCAATTGTTTCTGACACCCCTACCCCCATTTCTCCAGTCACTGAGTCAATCCATCTCATGCAGCGTCTTCCTCTCTTTCAGTGTCCCTCCACCCTTCCAAGCATGATGTCCCTCTCCAATGACTGGTCCCTTCTTGCAACATGCCCAAAGTATGTCAGACGTATCTTCAGAATCCTTGCCTCCAAGGAGCAGCCTGATTTCATCCTCTCCAGGATGAACCTGTTTGTTCTCATGACAGGCCATGTTATGTTCAATATGCTTCTCCAGAACCACAGCTCAAAGGCATACATTTTTTTTAAGCAAAGAAGCTTTTATTGGGACTCTTGGGTGAGGTTCACTGCCCCATGCCATAGAGAGGCAGAATGGGTCCCCCAAAGGCATAAATTCTTACTCTATCATCCTTAGTCATTGTCCAACTCTCTGATGCATAGCAAGTAATTGTGAAGACCATGGCCTGGATCAGGTGCACCTTAGTCTCTAGACTAACATCTTTGCTCTTCAGTACTCTGGAGATGTCCCTGATAGCAGATTTCTCTAATGCAGTTAATCTTTTGATTTCCTACTGCTGATACTATGAGTGTTGATTGTGGAACCAAGCAAGCTGAAGCTGTTAATAATATCAGTCTCTCTTCACCATCTATCATGATGCTGGCAATTGGCCCAGTGGTGGGAATCTTTGTTATTTTGATGTTGAGTTTCAATCCATATTGAAGGCAGCAGTCTTTGACCTTCTGCAGCAAATGCCTCAGGTTCTCCTCAGTTTCAGCAAGCAAGGTTGTGTCATCTGCATAACGCAGGTTGCTGATGAACCTTCCTCAAATCCTGATGCCACACTCCTTCTCACAGAGTCTAGCCTCCTGAATGATCTGTTCCACTTATAGATTGAAGAGATATGAAGATAGGATGCATCCCTGGCATACTCCTTTCCTGATTTTGAACCATGCACTGTTTCCCTGCTTTGTTCTGATGACTGTCTCCTGGTCTGAGTATAGGTTTTGCATCAGTTTTGAATCTCCATTGAGCTTTGTGTCTTATTCTCCATGGTGATCTTCAGAGGCCACCTCAAAGCTTTGAACCAGCTAGGCTAAATGAAAGATGCTCTCTCTCCCTGGCCTTGCCCGCACACTGGAACCACCAAATCATGCTGATCTCTTTCCACTTCCATTCCACAACTGCAACCTCGTGCAGTGAGAGAGAAGAGACACGGGACCTGCTTTATGCTGTGCCCTCACCTGACTGTGGCCACCCTGTTCTGCCAGGCCTTTGATTCTCACAGTTGGACTTCTGCTGTAGCTTGCTGTCTTTTTCTCCCCCCTCCCTCCTTTCTGTTCTTAATGTGCTCTTGTTCTAAACTCTTCTACTTGCTGGTGTCACATTCATTTTCTTAAAGTACTTCCTTTACGCATGGATTTCTTGGGGTGTTTTTTTGTTTGTTTTTAAGATCTTAATTTTTTTTTAATACTAATGAAAGTTTACCGAAAACTTGGATTTCCATTCATTCATTTTTGTATGACCCTTTAAGACACCTTGGTCTTAGTCATCATTCAAGGCCCTGCACAGGCTGGCTTCCCACAAACTCACTTCCCACCAGTCCCAATTTAGGTCCTGTGTTACAGCTTTTGTAGTTCAGCCCATCCTTTCCCCATGTCTGTGCACACTTTATCCAGTCTTTCTAGAATTCCTTTTTTCTCGTATATCCTCCTTACCCATCCTTTCCAAACCATGGCCTCTTGATGTGATTTATTAAACTTGGTGTCTATGGAAATTATCAGTAACAAAAATTCATGGAGCTTTGGCAGCAACTTGAGAATAAGTGAGGCTAAAATTATTAAATACAAGAATGTCATAGAAATGTGGCTTTTTATACTTTAAAGCCACTGTAGGTATAATTATATTCTTCAGAGTATATGTGTTATGTCTTCACCTACATTGCTAGCTTTTTAAGAGTAGGATACATCTTTTGGATTCCTCAAGCACTTCAAACTAGTATCTTAAAAATAGAGATGATTAAAAAATATTTATTAATGAACAGAAGCTGTGTAGAAGACATAGAAAGCCACAAGGCCTCTGTAAATTTTCTCTTGAGAGAGACTGGTACTTTCCTCTATTCTTTTCCTGTAGTAGTTATTCTAGTTTTACTCCGCACTCCTCAATCTATTTAGTCACAAATATTTCCCCATAACATGATATAACAACCAACGATATGCAGATGACACAACCTTGCTTGCTGAAACTGAAAAAGACCTGAAGCATTTGCTGCAAAAGATCAAGGATTGTAGTCTTCAATATGGATTGAAGCTCAACATCAAGAAGATATAGATTCTAAGCACTGGGCCAACTGGAAGCACCATAATAGATAGAGAAGAGACTGAGGTTGTTAGAAATTACAGCTTGTTTGGATCCACAATCAACACTCTTAACACCAGCAGTCAGGAAATCAGAAGACAAATTGCACTGGGTCATGGACCTCTCCAGAGTGCTGAAGAGCAACGATGTCAGTGTAGAGACAAAGGTGTGCCTAATCCAGGTCATGGTCTTCTCAATTACTTGTTATACTTCAGAGATTTGGACAATGACTAAGAATGACAGAAGAAGAATAGATGTCTTTGAGTTGTGGTGCTGTAGAAAAGTCTTGAACATACAATGAACTGCCAGAAAAACAAATTGGTCTGTCTTGGAGAGGGTGAAACCAATCCTTGGAGGCTAGGATTTTGAAGCTCTCTCTCACTTTGGGCACGTGCACAGGCGAGATAGGTCTTTGGAGAAGGACATCATGCTTGGAAGGGTGGACAGACAATGCAGGAAGGGAAGACCTCAGATGAGATGGATTGATACAGTAACTGGGGCGATGGAGGTTTGTGTGTGGGAATTAATGAGACTGGCTCAGGACAGAGAAGGGTTCAGAGCTGCTGTACACAGAGCTGCTATGCATCGCAGGTGACTCAATGGCACATAACAGTAATAATATACTATGACAGGTTTGGAAGCAGGAATGGCATCCACTTCCTAAACAACATGCCTCCAGAAACTCTATGAACTTTGATAAATGTCAATCGTTGTAGAGAGGCTTCAGGACTTTTGTTCATAGGGTCGCTGAGTCCTGCTTGACTCGAAGGCAGTCAACAACAATGTGGTATGTATACACGGGAGAAAAATAGGTGGTCTCCTCCCATGAGACTTACTGCCTCTGAAAACGTGCTAGAGAGTCAGCTATTAGTTCTGATTTGATGGTGGTGCCCTTGAGTTGCCTGCAACTCATAACAATCCTATCTATGTACACCAGCTCTGAAGCCTGCCCTGTCCTCAGCCAGTCTCACTAATTCTGACACACCTACCCCCACTGCCCTAGTTACTGTATCAATCCATCTTAGATGACATCTTCCTCTCCTGTGCCATCCCTCCACCCTTCCGAGCATAATATCCTCCAAGGATTTGATGGTTTACAATAATAACAAAAGCAATACAGTATATTTTCTTTTATGTTTACATCATCAAGGAATTGTTAAATTAAGGCTATCAGCACAGTGGACACCAAAATGTGATTTAAAATGATGGAGTGTAATGCTTAACTGACCTGGAAAGATGTCCTAAACATTGTGTTTGAGAGGGGAAAAAGTAGGTTAGGAAAGAGCATGAAGAGATTAATCCCAGTTATGTCAAATGTTATATATATCTACATATTACACACACACACACACACACACACACACACACACCCTTCTTTCTCTTTCTCTCCGCGTACACACACTCATTCATATACAACAATGCAAAGGGCATGTGGTTCAAATTCACCAACTGCTCTGCAGGAGGGTAGGCAGTGTCCTCCTGTGCAACTTACTGCCTCTGAAAACCTGCTAGAGGGTCAGTTTTGAGTTGACAGCACAAAAGAACATATATATGTTGCTTGGGTCCACAATCAACATTCCAGCGGTCAGAAAATAAAAAAAAAAGATGAGTCACTTTGGGGAAAGTCTGCTGTCTGCAACTTCTCCAGAGTGCTGAAGAGCAAAGATGTCAGTCTAGAGACTAAGGTGTTCCTGATTCAGGCCATGGTCTTCTCAGTTGCTTCATATGCATCTGAGATCTGAACAATGACTAAGGATGATAGAAGAATTGATGCCTTTGAGTTGTGGTGCTGGAGAAGAGTATTGAACATACCATGGAACAAACAGGTCTGTCCTGGAGAGGGGGAAACCAGATGGCTCCTTGGAGGCAAGGATTTTGAAGCTCAGTCTCACATACTTTGGGCATGTGGCCAGAAGGGACCAGTCCTTGGAGAAGGACATGATGGGTGGAGAGACAGCACAGGAAAGGAAAACCCTGGGACACAATGGGGGCAGGTGTGTCAGAGACAGTGTGATTGGCTTGAGGTAAGGCAGGGTTCAGAACTATTGTTCACAGGGTCCCTATGAGTCATAGTTGATTTGATGGCACATCACACACACACACACACACACACACCCCTGAAATACCACTACTCAGAAATTACTATTTCTTGCCAAAAAGTTAGCTCATGATATTTGATATATGAGGTAACTTTTGCTTTCTTTTTCATACTTCTCAGAATGGTTCTGTTCTTTTTATATTGCAAGCACAGATTTTATGAGAAATCAAAAACTGTAGACTTGTTGGAAATATGTAAAATAAGGACTGACTTTCTTTTCATTTGGTAGGACTATTACCAGAGCCAATTGAATTTCACCTGTTTTTTTTTTCCTTTTTCTTAAGAAACATAGAAGAAATGCCTATTCCTTTTAAAATCATCAGTTATTTTACATTCCAGAAGTACTGCTCTGAGATTCTTGTAGTTAATGAGTTCTATGGACTAAATTTCACTTGCGGTAAGTAGTCTTCTTTGGTCTATTATATTTTACACATTATTTATGGGAAGCAATTTCCTGAGGGAGATGTATTTTTTAAAAATAAAAGCTGTATTTTGTAAAAAATAGATGTAAAGACTTGCTTTGAAATAAAAGTCCAACTTCTCTGATGTAGTAATAATAGACACTTGTTCCAGTTAGAAACCTGGTGAAGGTCAGTAGCTTTGGTCCACTTTGAAGTTATTAAGAAATGGCAGTCCTGATGTGCACTGAAATAGATACTAGCAAGTTTGGAATGGAATCAGTTCTGTACCTACTGAACAGGCTGATGAAGTTTCTTGCTCCTTAGAAATATGCATGGTCTGTAGCTGAATGAAGCCATTGTTTTTTTCTTCTCTGATTTTTTTTTAAATTTTATTGTTTTTGTGTGTGTGTGTGTACAGTCAAATCAGATCTGACTGGTACAGAAGGAGATTGCCCCTCCTCCTCCAGCAGAACATCTGGTGGATTTGAACCACACGCCTCTGGGATTGCAGTGCAGCTTCTTGCCACTAGGCCACCAGAGCTCCCTTTGAAGCCATTTTTGACAAAAGACTGTTCCTGACTCCCACAGCAAAGCCTCAGGGAACATCACAGGGTCTCAGGACTATTGGAAATCGTCTTAGACACACCTAACAAACAGGATAGAGGGTGGTAATTGTTTTGAATATTCTTGGGTGCTGCTGTCAATAATTTTAGGATTGTTGTTGTTGTTGTTATGTGCCATCGAGTTGCTTGCGACTCATAGCGACCCTATGTACAACAGCCCTAAACTCTGCTCTATCCTGTGCCAATCGCACTGTCTCTGACACTCCCAACCCAATTATCCCAGTCACTGAATCAATCCACCTCATAGAGGGTCTTCCACTCCTGCGCTGTCCCTCCACCCTCCCATTTAGTGATTTTGATCAGTACGATAGTAATGAATAGGAGGGTATGGAGTCCTGGTGGTACAATGATTGAGCCCTTGGCTCTAATTAAAAGGCTTGAACCACCAGCATCTACCTGGGATCCTGAGCTGACAGTTTGCTCCTGTAAACATTACACCCTAAAACAGGAGGTAAAATGATGCAGACTTCTTAGCTATAACCAAACTCCTTGAGTTACTGAGTTTAGGAGCACAACACCACAGTCACAGGGGCCATCAAGGTCAACACAGCCCACAGAGACAATATTCTATATCCTGCTTTACTAAGTAGCAAGGAAATCGCATCTTCAAACCCTGTGAATGGCCATCTAAGGTGCAACTAGTGGCCTCTCCCCTCTAGGAGGAAAGGGGAGTGAAGAACAAGACTGTTTCCCCAGTGGACTGATGCGTGGGCTGCAGCCTGCATAGCCCTGCACCCCTTGGAATGAGACAGTCTAGGGCTACTAATGCTGACCATTTGGAAAGGCTTCTCAATAGAAACTCCTTGAGATAGTGAGAGAAAAATGTAGAGCTAAAGTAAATATCAGGAAATGTCTTCTCAGGCTTACTGATCTGATAGAGAATGGTGAACCCGAGAACATGACCTATAGTCACCCTTCCAGGCCTGGCACTGAATTGCCCATGACTCAGCTTTCAGCCCAATGGCAGACAGGCCTAGAAGGTGATCATTAATACCAAAGAGAAAGATCAAAAGGGCAGCATTCGTCCAGGGATAAAGCTCAAAAGCAGGAAAGGATATGAAAGATTGGACAAAGGGACATGAGAAACACAGGGGAGGAGTGGGGAAAAGTGCTGTTACTACACAGGATAATGTCACAAAACCTGTATAATAAACTAAGTGGAAAATAAATTTGGTCGGTAAACTTTCACTCAAATTACAATAAAAAAGTTTATTAAAAAGAAAAAATATGACAGGCTAGAAATCCTTATTACTCACTCACTCACTGTCACTGCCATTAAGTCAGAATGGACTCATAACTGAACCTCCCCTGGGTCCCCAAGGCTGGGAATCATGAGAGGAGACTGTCCTTTCTCCTAAGGAACCGCTGGTGGGTTCAAAGATGTGACCTTTGGGTTATCAGCACAGTTCCCTGCAGATTACATCATCAGAGAAAACCCTATAGGGTAGTTCCATCAACACGTGGGTCACTATTAGAGTTGACTTAATGACATGTTATCAGCAACTGAGAACTAAATCAAGTCTGTTATCACCAAGTTGATTCTGATTTTATAGAATAGAGTAGAACTTCCCCATATGCTTTCCTCTGTACAAAGCTGGTTGCACTCTGAGGAGTGGTTAGTGGATTTGAACTGATGACCTTTTGGGTAGCGGTCATGCACTTAACCACTATGCCCCCAGGACTCCTGTATAGTGGCAGCATGGCAAAGGGCCTATATCTACACTAGAAGCAGATTGTTTACATCTTTGATGAAGCCACGCCTTAGACTCCCATAATATGAATTCTGGACTCTTCACAATGTCCTTTTTCTGTAGTGAGGCAGAGTGCTACTTCTGGTAAACACTATTGATGAAACTGCCTGTGACCTACTGTATCTGACTTGTGATATTTTTGCTGACAGGCAACGCAAATGGCTCTGTGACAACCAATCCAATGTGCGCCTTCACTCAAGGAAGTCAGTTCATTGAAAGGACCTGCCCGGGTGCAACATCCAGATTTACAGCAAACTTCCTGATTTTATATGCATTTATCCCAGTTCTTGTCTTTCTAGGAATAGTAGTTTTTAAAATAAGGGATTATTTCATTAGCAGATAGTGTCATTTCTGTTAACAATGAAACTTAAGCTGCTGGGTATGCACGACTCTCGGGAATGTCTAGAAGAAGAAAGTATGTGTGCTTTTTTGATGCTACAGCTTAAGTCTCCTAGTCATAAGTTGACCCTTATGACCCTGTCACTCGGATCTGTGTGGGCTTTGTTGTTGTTGTTAGGTGCCACTGAGTCGAGTAGGACTCACAGAGACCCTACGAGCAGCTGCCCTGAACCCTGCCCTATCCTGTGCCATCCTCATCATCTCTGACACACTCGAGCCCCTTGCTGAAATTACCGCCATGTTGGTCCATTTTGTTGGGAGTCTTCCTCTCCTTCATCGACCCTTCCTATTTCCAAGCATGACATCCCCTTCCAAGGAGTGGCTTCCCCTGGCTACATGTCCAAAATATGAAAGATGATGCTTCGCCGTCTTTGCCTCCCAGGAGCGCCCTGACTGAGCTCTAACAGCCCCTTGAAATGCCAACTTGTCGGGGTCCATGTGGCTTTTGGAACCTGGAATTGAGCTGGTCCAAAATGCAAAGGACAAGAATTCACAGACATTTGAGGGACTAATGTGAGACATTTGATTTTCTTGTTCTAAACACTGAAATGTAGATAATTAAAAAATTATGCTTATATTTGATAATGGATTCAGTGAACATTTGAATTATTACTGACTGTAAATAAAAGAGTTGTGGTTTGATTGCAAAAAAACATCAGACACGACTAGGTTAGAATGCTTTCATTATCTCCTTAAAACTCCCACATATTCACACAAAAAAAGGAGCCCTGGTGGTGCACTAGATTACATAATGGGCTGTTATCCAAAAGGTTGCTGGTTCGGACCCAGTAGCTGCTCTTTGAGTAAAGATGTATGTCTGCTTCCATAAACATTTCATCACAGGGAAGCAAGAAGGGCAGGTCTGCTGTCCTATGGATCAGGGTGAGTTGGAAATGACGTGCTATCAGTGGGTTTGGTTATCTGGTTATCCCTTGCACTGATAATCCAGAGGTCAGGCCTCTTCCAAAGCTCACCCAGGCACAGCAGCAACTAGGGAGAACAGACCTCAGAAACCTGTTGGAGGAGCTGGAGCCTCCTCAAAGGGCAGGAAGCTGAGGTCAGAAGAGTGAGATGGTGTCCGGCTTCCACGCCTGACCTAGTACAAGGTCCTACACAGAATGAGTGGAAAACGTGGGGAAAACTCAAAACCAGGCCTACCGCCTGACAGACACTGGTAGGACTCCTGAGACGGTGGCCTTTAGTTACCCTTCGAGCCTGGAACAAAACTCACACCTCCGTGCTGCACAGTGTTCCATTGTATGAAGGTACCATAATTTCTCAGTCCATTCCACTGTGCTTGGGAATTTGAGCTGTTTCCATGTTCTTGCTATGGTGAATATGCTGCTATGAATACTGGTGTACAAATCAGTGTGAAAAACAATGTATATAAACTTTATGAACTTTGTATGTAAACCAGTAGAAAATAAAATTTAAAACAAAAAATTCACACCTCTAGCTCAACTTTCAGCCAAATCACAGACAAGTCTATGAGGTGAACGACACCACCAACAGGACAATCAGCTTTCTAAAATCAAATGGGCGGGATCTGCTCGGAGGAAAAGCTCAGAAGGCAGGATGGATGACTAGAGATGACAGCCACAGGGGGAAGCAGGCAGAGGCTGGTTACACTGTGTGCAGTGTGGTAAATGTCATGAAACAAAGGGCAGCTGAATGGAAAACCTATGTGCTCTGTAAAGTGTCACTCAACAGTAAAACAGGTAAATGTTACGAGACAAAGTATATACACTGAGAAAGGACATATTTAAGGTTAGGGAACAGATATGATTTGAAGTCCACTTGGGAGAAAATGCTAATCTGACATAACATTAAGTCTACACACTTGGAATTAATGTTTGTAAAGAGAATGACAGACATGGGCCCATATTTTCAGGGATGCAATGATGTATAGAGATTTTGAACAACGGGTTTTCTACCAGATGACTGACTAGCTTTTTTATTCATCTTAAATTAATTCACACACAAGTGTGAAATGAAATGGCACTGTTTCCACGTTACCGTAGTAACTGTGAGACTATCTTAAGAAAGTACATGAACTTGTGAAGTTATTGTGACCTAACTTGCAAAGAATGTTAAATTATAGCATTTGAAGTGTCTTCTAGTAGGGAAAAAAAATAATTTCATTAAGGAAGCCACAGCAAAATTCCATTTCTTAGAATGGTATTTAAAGATCTGGAGACATTGGTAAATTACCAGAATAGTGTTGTCAACTTTTATTAAAGGTCTTTGACACTGATGATTAGGTATAATAGTTACAGAATGCCTTACAGATTATATATGTCACATCAGTTATAGACAATTTTGGAGATGATAATCTATTGAAGTAGTTCAAATAGAGTCCCACAGGAACCTCTTTTGAAATCACTGATTTCAACTTACTAAAGATATGGGTGTGCAGTGCAAGTGGAGACGGTTTCCACTATTCATATGCAGATGAATTTCATTCTAGCTCAGAAACACTTGGAGAATTGACATAACACGTGATTTCAAGCTATTAAATGTTAGTGATACCATCTTAGAAAAACACGATGGCTTTCAACATGTGACAGCTGGTGTCTTAAGTGAAAAATGGACAGTGATGTGTAAGGAAATCAAATTATAGAGTAAAAATTCCGATTGCTGTTGTGAAATATACTGTTTCTTCCCACCAAGTTAATGTTTCTGCGACTGTAACACTGTTAGAGGGCTGCCTGTCTACTAAGACTGAGGATGTGTTGAAGCACACTGAAAATCCTCTTCTTCTCAAGTGTGACAAGAGTTAAAATTGCTTTTGTTAGGTGCCATTGAGTCAAATAATACTTTTTTGTGTGTGTTTGAGAAAAATTTATTTTTAGAAATAGCCAGCTGGACTCAGCTTAGATGATCCCAATTAGGTGGGAAAAACCAAAACAACAAAAGCAAGAACAAAGCCAAAAAAAACCCTCCTCCCCCCAACAAGCCCAAACAAAAGGGTGAACTTAGCCACATCAATGTCATAGAGCTTCTCTACAGCTTGTTTAATTTGGTCTTATTGGCCTTGACATCCACAGTGAACACAAGTGTGTTGGTATCTTCTATCTTCTTCATAGCTGACTCAGTGGTCAGGGGAAATTTGATGATGTCATAGTGGTCAAGCTTGTTTCTCCTGGGGGAGCTCTTCCGGGGGTATTTGGGTGCCTTCGGAGTCTCAGCGTCTTAGGCTGCCGGAAGGTGGGTGACGTGCAGATCTTCTTTTTTTTTTTGGCTGTGGACGCCCTTCAGGACTGCCTTCTTGGCCTTTAATGCCTTTGCTTTGGCGTCAGTTTTGGGAGGGGCAGGGGCTTCCTTCTTTGCTTTTGGCGCCATCTTCCTAGAAAGTGAGTTAAATACAACTTATGATGACCCTATGAACAAAAGATCTGAACCCTGTTCTATCCTGTGCCATCCTCACACTACCTGATGCACAACAGATCACTGCAGCAGTCACCATGTCAATCCACCTGGTTGAGGGTCTTCCTCTCCTTCACCAACCCTCCACCTTTCCCAACATCATGTCCCTCTCCAAGGAATAACACCTTCTAGCAATATGTCCTCATCATTCTTTCCTCCAAAGAGAACTCTGGCTGCACCCTCTCCAAGACCTATCTGTCAATTCTCTTGGTTGTGCATAGGACGTTCAGTGCTCTTCTCCAACACCACAGCTCAAAGGCATCAATTGTTTTTCTGTCATTCTTATTCATTGTCCAGGTCTCAGATGCATAGCTAGTAATCGGAAGAACTATGGCCTGAATCAGACACACCTTAGTCCTCAAACTGACATCACTACTCCTCATTAATTTGGACAGATACCTAACTGGAAATGCATCTCCTTTTTAAATAGCTTATGAAGGCTCAAATGATTGCATTAATTAGATACAACTTATAAGTCCTGGTGCTCTTGGAACTTGCTTATTTGAAGCTAAGTGGCCCAGTTGAGTCAAATGTGGGACTAAAACGATCAAAATGTGGACTAGACCAGGATCTTCTCGCTTCTCTGTTTACTGAGTGTTCCACTAGAATTTCTATTAGAGGCTCCTCTTCCAGCTGCTCATGAACAATCTGGGAGTCAGTTGGAGATCCACATCTTAGAGTCACCCCTTGAACACCACGAGCTCCACTGATTTCAGTGCTGTGAGTTGCCACTTAAGAGCGTATGCTGTTCATTGTCTCCAGTCATCCCTGGAAAGATGATTAGCAACATTTGAAGTCATGGTAACAGCAACAAGGAAAAAACTCCACAGATAATAAGTAGGACCTTTCAGTCCCGAGCCATATTCTTCAAGGGTCAGCTGTATTTTGAAAGGGAGAAGAGTCTCATATATTCACTGCTATCTCTTCCTTCTAGGTATTAAATACTGTATCTAAGCATGTGTCCTAGTTCCGTAATGCTGCTGTAACAAGACATCCCGTAAGTGGCTGACTTTAAAGAGACATCTATTTTATCTATTTTTCAGGAGTCTGAAGCCATGGCACGGACTCTAGAGAAAGGCTTTTTCTCTGCTGGGTCTTGCTCTTACAGCAGACCTGTGTCCCATGGTAGTCACAGATGCCTTTTCCTTCCCTCTATCTGTGCCTCTGTCTTGTCTTAGTACCTAGGGGGCCCCTCATCATTTAGAAGAGGTTTGATTTCAGACACACTCATATGTCTTCATTAACATCATAAAGAAATACCTTTTCTAACATCTGCAGGTTCAGGGGTGAGGATTCTAACACAGGCTTGCATGGAAACAATTCAGTCCGTAGCAAAGTAGTACATATGAAATTCTTCATTAAAGGTTCGTTTGTTAGCTTGTTGGTCCCTGCAGTGTTCTTAAGGCTGGAGGCTGGCCTTCTCTTTGATTACTGAGATCATTCTCAGCCTAGGATGTATAGCAGGCATGCAGCAAATGCAGTTCCCTGTGTATGCTGCAGAAGTGTAAGAAAAGAACC